ATTTTCCATTGATTTTTAGATAGAATGGGAGAGAAAAAGACAGAGAGAGAAACATCAATGTGAAAAAAACACATCAATTGGTTGCCTCCCTCATGATTCCTGACCAGGTGATTGAACCTGCAACCCAGGCACATGTCCTTGACTAGAATCAAACCTGTAACCCTTAGGTCTGCAGGCTGATGCTCTAACTGTTGAGCCACACCATCCAGGGCTAGATGACATTTTAGAAATTTTCATCTCACAGATGCAAAACCTCCAGCACTACCAAACTGAACATCACCATGTGCAAAATAAATGTTTTTTAAAGCAGAGTGTGTATTTACTCAAAAATTATATTACACCATTTATGATCATGCATGGAAATAAATATGTTCCTCAAAAGATCAAACATATTTGGGCCAAACAGTACTGTGTTTGGTATTCTTATCAAGGACTGGTATAATTCTTATGTTTTCAGAAAGTTTTGAAAACAAAACTACTTCATCCTTGGAGTTTATCTTTTAAAAAATATGAAAACTGAGAAACTGGATTAGAAACAAAGGCAGTGCTTTGCACCTCCATTATATTAAACCCACTATATATAGTTTATTGCAATTTTTCCAAAATAGTTGAGGATTGATTCATTCTTAAAAGATTTGTTAAAATTTATTTCACTATTTATCTATGTTCCTCTCATTCATCACAAGAAATAATTTTGACAGAATAAATGCATTGATATCATTAAGGACAAAAATATTTGAATTGAAACTAAGTCACTGACCAAACACCTTCTAAGTTATAACAATGTCCACTATATACTATGAAAGTGCATTTATGTATTTAAGTCCTATACTTATTTGGTTCCTAAATAATTTTTTTTTTTTTAATTTCAAGAGCATTTGCACTTCTTCTTTGAAAAATAACACAACTTGGGTGTTTCAATCCACAGAATTGCTATTTTATATTTTTTCTCACAGTCCAGGAGAATAAATTCCTACATGCAACACAGAAGAGACTTCATAGTATTATCTCCACATGTGAAATTAATCTATGGATGTTTACAAAATAAAAACTTGATTTTGTAAAATAAATAATAATAATACATTCTTTAAGCCATTAAGATCATGATATAATAATTTTTCATGGCTGAGCATCCTTTCGTATTTTTACTTATTTGCCCTATTTCAAATAGTAAGTAGCGCTGAATAGTTTCAATAGCATTTTATAAAGCAAGTTTTTCAATTAAAACAAAAACCAAATACTTTTCACTACTGAAGATATACACTCTGAATATTTAGCCAATTGCCTATTTTCGTTCCAATATATTTTATATTACCTGTTGATACTTACATGATCTAATGGCCTCATAAATTAAAAATGCTCCACCGTTTTTTAGGTTTTATATCTATTTAGTACATATAACACGGACTATATGCCTATTGTAAGAAATGGAAATACCATATCCTAAAGTTCAAATACCATGCCAGAGCTCTGCTCAAAAAGTCATTCCGGACTATCCTTATGGCTGATGGTAGTTTTTCAAGGAGTTATATTAATACACACAGAATAAGAAGCAAAAGAGATAAATTATTAACTAACCAGACCAATTAGACCTTTAGATAAAACAACAGAGTAGTGTATAACCTCTCAGCAGGTTTTCTCGATACAACTTTTGTAAAGGTCCATGGACATGTTCATAAACCTTTAGCCTGTTTGGAGAAGAAAAGGAGGTCTGTCCCTGAAGCCACACTGCCATGAGTGTAAGTGTTTCTTTTTGTGAAGAGTAATAAATATATCCCCTGATGTTTAAAACGACTGTTATATCATTTTCTTGATATATAAGAGACATTTCTGTCCCCTCAGGAATATTATCAGTACCTCAAATATTTAATTTAACAATGTGACCTAGTTTATAATATTAAAGAGAACCTAGCTGTTTGGTTTTTCTGTTTATGAACATATGAATGTTCAGTACTACAAACAAGCACTTACTATGAAAAGACTTAAGGAATGTCTTTGACTACACTTATGCAAACTATTATTGAAATAGAAGAAATAATGCATGCCCACTTCAAAATCTTGCTTGCAAAACTGTTTAATACTTGTGTATTGTTTAGCATAGTGCCAGGTTTGTCAATAACATGTGTTCAAGCAACAGTATTGGACTTCCACAATAAAGACTTCTATGGTACAGGAATTCTCACAAATACCTCAAATATCCTTCTTCAAGTGGTATCTGTGTTTCACCCTTGCTGTATCGACATGTTTACTTTTTGGAAGAGAGTACAAATAGAATTCATATTATAGTATCACTGCTTTACTTCATTTTTAAAGAGGCACTTCTTCATATTTCTTAGAGTATATTTTCATGGTAATCTTTTCCTTTTACAATATTAGTCAAAAAATGTGTGTAACTATCACTGACAACATAAGTTATTTATTTGTAAAGCAGTCTTTGGAAGCAGCTGCCCCTGAAACATCAGAAAAAGAAAAGATACAAGAATAGAAGGAAGAGCAATTTGGATAAGTGAAGCACATGAACTACTGGTCTATTTGAAATCAAATGTGTGATGTCTACATATTTTCGGGAAGAAGATACCTAAAAAACCCCCAAAGCATAGCTCTCAAAATAGAGAAGCAAATTCATCAGGGCAAAAATAGTGTAGTGTCTGTGTGTCAGTGTGTGAGTAGGAATGTACTACTCGAACATAATTCGTTCCAGGAGGACGGTCGAGAACCAAATTGTTCGAGAACCGAAGCAATGAAACCAATAGGAAATAATGGAAACTGGATTAATTCGTTCCAAGTCCCAGAAAATGCCTATTTACTGGCCTAATTTGTATATAATAGGTAGAAAAACATAAGTCTCAACAAGAAATAAAAGTGTACAGTATGTCTAAGGGTTAAATTCAGTGTAAAGCGTGACTCTCTCCACAAAGCGTGACTCTCTCTCTGCACTCACACTGAGGACGCGAGCAAGGCGCGCTGGGCCGAATGAACGCCATTCGGCTCAACTCGGCTCATCTCGGAAGTTCAAGTTCCAAATATTTGTTCGGATTCCAAGACAAAAGTTTCTCGAATCTCCTGGTCGAATACTGATTTGGTCGAAATCTGAGGCGTTCGAGAACCGAGGTATCACTGTATCACAATTAAACTGAAATATAGGGGCGCTTATTTGCTAAGTTATGTAACAACAGACACAGCTACAGGACAGAAAAATCCCAGGAGGTGAAAAAACTCCTGAACAGTGCTAGTAGCTGGTACTAAGGGGAAATTTTATGAAGCTGACCAACTATCCCTTGACTATACAGCTTCAAACACATCCTGGAAAATAAGTTACTCATAGACTGAACTCGATATAGCTGTTTCAAAAGGCATCATTGTTGTAATTTTGTTCATTCATTTAAAAATATACTACGCAGTTCGGCCAATTCTCCATTGCGCGTTAGAAGAACAGCAGATGAGCAGCAAGGTCAATGCGGTTTCCCAATGTGGGGCAGGCAGACAGAGTGAATGATACTTACAATTAGATAGGAACAGACATAAAATATATGCCTTCCTACTTATTTTTTTGACACCAGTCTAATGATAGGGTGAAAAGCTGGCTATGCTTGTAAACATCTGAAGCTGGAAGAATTCTGAAAATTGGCAATAAATGAATGAGAATGAAAAGCTCACTGCCCTCTGTACTAAGTTTGTGTCTTTTTTAACCCAATGCATCATATTGACTAACACTTGTTTATGTTGTATATAAAGCCCAAGGCTGTAAAACCTATGTCAGGTTGGCAAACGATAAGAACACCAATTGTCAAAGTTCTTAGAAAGATAAGAGTTGCTGTGGCTTTTTATCGCCATTTCATTCCACTTGCTATGGGTAGAGCAGAGTCCCTGACAATCATTATTCCTCCACATTTGACTGGAGGTTGGCATTTTGAAGGGCTCTTTCTTTTATGTCATTTATGTATATGTATATATGTTTACAAATATTAGACTGTCCATTGATGATATTGCAGATTGATGTACTGATCTTGATTTTAAGTTTCTTGACTCTAGAGTTATAACTAAAAATTTTAAAATTTTTGGCTAGAATGTATTTTTATTTCTGTTGGTTTACAAGAGTTCCTTGTGATATTTTTCTTTCAAAAGAATATTTTAATGGTAAATTCTTAATCTCAAAAATTACCACTCTAAAAAGGTGGTACAAAAATTTTGCTTTTATCACATTGAAATTTAGAATTTAAAGTAAGATTTCAAAAATGTGCTATAATTTCAGAATTGTTTATGAAATTAAAACTTTAAATAACATAAGGATCCCAAATCTATATTTAAACTCTAATATGCTGTCTCAGATGCCCTCAAATGCTTTCTTTATTTCTCCTAGATGTAATATATTCTTTCAATATTTACTGAAAAGAAAATATGTACTTATAGGATCACTAGGATAATTAACTTTAATTTGAGAAAAACTGTACTACTGTTCATCACCTGATACTGCCTACATCATGTTGAGACCTGTTTTGGAAAAAATACATTTGATTAAAATGGCACAGATTCATGTTTGTGTCACAAAGTCAGTTAGAATTTCCTAAAATAGGTTCACTAGAAGTGTGTTTCAGTATACCTCATTTTCATGAACTTAGACAAAATAGTTTTCCAGAGTTAGAATCGTGTATAATAGTATACCATCTCTAAGACCATTGAATATGTATGATTTCTTTCATAAGCCTGTCACATCAAGGATTTATTAGAGCTCAGTAAAAATATATGTATGTGTGAATATGCATGTTTTTTCAGCCAGTGCACAATAATTGGAAATTAACCCCTTATCTGTATGTAGCCAGTTTTATGTTCAAAATTAGTTGTCGAAACACTCTCTATGTATGAGTTCTCTTTCTCTTGGTCAAATATTTTTGAGGGAAAATGTTCTTAAAGCACATCAGACAAGGATTCAATGGGGTCTTGAATAAAGGATACATTGTGAAGATGGCAATTTAAAAAGAATCCACTCTCAGAATTTAATATCTAAATTTGGGAAACATATCCTTTTACAAGACCCAGGAATTAAACAACACAAAAGAGTTCAAGTGTTCAGTTTACTAGATTATCAGCCATTCTGTGTCTCCAAAATGCAAGGCCAGTGATAGTCACTAGAACATATTTTCTATACAATGAAATCACTAGACAAGAAATACATTTATCGTAAGTTTCCTATAATCATCTAGTTCCTTGTGCCCATTAAAAGTACATTTTAATATGACAGAGTTTCAAAGAAAAACAATTAAACAGACACTATGAGAGCTGAAATATGGCTTCATAGGAAACAGGGCTACGTTTAATTAGCTTTGATAATTCATGTGTATTTCCTTTTATTTTTGTTATAGTTCACATCACTGGCATGAACTTATGAGCCAAAACTTTTCCAATTTTAGTTATTACCAAAATTTACAAACTTGACAGAAAGATTACATAGTATTTACAAATAACTTGGCACTTACAGAATAAATTATTGACTTTTTAATTCAGACCAAGGCCCCCATGGTTCAGGCAAATGGGAAAGCCTAATGCCTTATAATATATTATGCTACATTAACAGAATAAATAAGTTTCCAGCTGGTAATTCCTCCACAGTGCTGTCCCTGCTGCTGAAGACAAGTACCTTTCATTTCTAATCCCTGGGGAGTGTAGAGAAGGTATCAGTCCAGAGAAAGCAAAGGTTGCATATTTTCTTCTTCATTTTTATCCATGCGTTTTAGTATTGTGGGATCCACTACTGATTGGGATCTGGAAAGAATAAAGCCAATGTTAGTGAGCTATTACCAAACAATCACATTCTCTTCTCTGTCTTTTCTCCATTATTACTGCTGTCACTAGTGCGGATTATCTTCCTTTACATCGAGGACTTTATGACCCAAGAATGCTGCAAATTCAGAGAGAGAGACACACACTTTCCATGGGATTTTGCATCAGAGGAAACAATCCCCTATGGCCTCTAACTGGAATGAATACACAACAACAAACAATTCTAAATACACAATAATAGGTTTAAATTCTCACTCACTTTTTTTCTTTTTATTGATTTTAAAGAGAGAGGAAGGGCGAGGGAGAGATAGAAACATCAATGAGAGAGAACATTGACTGGCTGCCTCCTGCATGATCCCCACTGGGGATTGGGTCCACAACCTGGGTATGTGCCCTGACTGGAAATTGAACCGGTAACCTCTTGGTGCATGGGTCAACACTCAAATTCTCTTTTTAACAATGGCATAACAGTCTTTTCTTTCAGATTGAATATTTCTAGTATAGGACAGATGTATTCCAAATAGGAAATTATTACCATAAAATTTTTGTTATAAGACATGAAATAACAATGATAGGAGCCTTGCCCTGGCTAGTTTGGCTCAGCGGTTAGATTGTCGGCATGCAGACCAGCGAGTCCCGGGTTCTGTTCCTGCTAAGGGCATGTAACGCGGTTGCAGTTTGTCCCTGGCCCTGGTTAGGACTGTGTGGGTGGCATCCACGCCATGTGTCCCTTTCACGTCGATGTCTCTCTCTCTCTCTCTCTTCTTCTTTTCCCTCCCACTCATTGTTTCTTATTTTTAATGATCACAGTAGGAAAAAGTAAAAATTTGAATGTGAGTTTTCTTCAACTTCCCACTAGAACAGTCAAATAAAATAAATCTTTCTCTTAAAATTTTGTGACATGTTTTAAGACTTTTAAAAAGTTAAAACCCCAGGGGCTGGGTGAAAAAGACGAAGGTATTGAGAAGTACAAATTGGCAGTTACAATATAGTCACAGGAATATAACGTACAGCATTGAAAATAAAGTCAATAATATTGTAATAACTATATATATACCTGTGGTGTCAGGTGGGTTCAAGACTTACCAGAGAGATCACTCTGTAAGTTATATAAATCTCTAACCACTATGCATGCACCTGAAACTAATATAATATTGAATATCAAGTGTGATTTAAAAATTAAAACAAAAAAAAAATTTAAGTTAAAGCCCTTCTTGTTTAGGCAGCAGCTTTTTATGATTAGGAAAACAAATAATTTGAAAAGGCTTACACATGCCTCTGATAGCAGGTGGGAATTACATATTAGGAAACAACATAAAACAGGAAAGGAGGAAAGTTAATGAGACGTGCTACTGTTGTGGCAGGAAGCTGCCTTCTTAATAGCTATAGCATTAAGGAAGCAGCTGCCCTTTTAAAATTCTCCTTGGTAATGAATTTTTCCCCTACTGCTGCATTCTAGCCAATTGGCTACTGCCGTGCCTCTTAGCAGACCTCATTAACTTTCAAACAGAAAGACTATAAGCTAAACTACAACTGCACATGTTAATGAAAAAAAGGCAATGGAACTAATTATCAAAGCAAAAATAATTACAGTATTAACTGATAAATTCAGACCTTCATTTAAATAAACTTAAATTTTTTTCTAAAGAACGAATGAAAGGGAGGTGGGAATACTAAAACAGGGATGTTTTATTTCATAATTCATTTTCACTCTTTCATCTCTACGATAGGTCCTAGATGCCTGTATCAGAAAGGAGACTGACTAAAGTTGAATGTGTGTGTCTGTGCGTGTGTGTCTACAGGCAGGAGAGAGGGGGGGCAGGGGACCAGGAGAAAGGGAAGGAGAGAGAAGAGCAATAATAATTTATTTTAGAAAAAGTACACAAATAAAACACATTTTAACACAGTAGACAGTTGCACAGAATACTTAGTAATTAGGCCTTTAAAACTTTTTCTCAGACTTAACTGAAAAAATTGGTTTCCCAAGAAGAATCCAGATTAAAACATATAAAGGTTCATTTACTGACCTACACGAAAGTATTAACTTGGCACTGGAACCCACTGGACTACAAATTCCATGAGCAGGGATCTGATCAGTTAATCTTTCCTACTGCAATGTGTTTCATTTGTTACACAGTAGGATCTCAGTGTTTTAACTTCTAGCCAATAGTTTCCATACTGAAAGAAGTTTGGTACGAAACATTCAAAATCAATAACAATTTATCCTGTGGAAAAATTCTAACAGAAAATGTATTTTAAAATTCTCATAAAGTTAAATCTATTATATAAATATTGAAGTATGTCCTAATAACATTCAGTGAGCACACACCGAAACTCTTCAGACAGTGCAAAGTACACAACTTAAGCACCTGCCATAATGTTTGGTTAAAACACACAACACATCTCACACACAATGTTTTAAACCCATATGTTCTTTGACTATTTTTTTAAATATTAGAGGATATGGTGATTTTAAAAAAATATTTTAAATTATAGTGGGCTATACAACCTGGGATTAAGTTCCTAGTTTCCTTTTATCATGCACTATAGATATAAGAATTGTTGGCTCCCTATGTACAACAAATCCTTGATATAACAAGCCAAGCAGAAACAATTTCTGATTGAGATGATTAAGAATTTTTTTGGGTCATTCTGCTATGGCTCAGTGGTTGAGCATCAACCCATGCACCAAGAGGTTGCCGGTTTGATTACTGGTCAGGACACATGCCCAGGTTGTGGGCCACATCCCCAGTGGGGGGAATGCAGGAGATGGCCCATCGATTTTCTTGTTCATCAATTTTTCTATTTTTCTCTCCCTCTCACTTCCTCTCTCTCTAAAAACAATAAAGAAAAAAATTAAAAAATAAAAAAAGAATTTTTTGGTATTTAATTGCCCCAGTGTACTGTTATTTTAGTCCAACAGCAATTGTTGTTGCTGTTGTTCTCTTATACAAAACAAGGGGTTATTTGTGCAGGATCATAAGTTAATGAATTGGTTTGTTTCAGCTGCAATAGAGAGTGTCCTTCATTAATTCATAGCACATCTCAGCAGTCTCCACAGAGCCTCTAATGGATTTGAAAAAAACAACATTTTTATTAAAACGAATCATTTAAATTTAATTATCCAGGTATCACTTATTCATTTATTATGCATCTGCAATATTGTGCTATACCTTCGTGTTTAATAGGCTAGATTTTGGACATAGGGGCTTCCAATTCCAGTTCTGCTATTCAGTATCTCTGTGATTGTGGGAGAGCTGTTTAAACTTCCTAAAGTGTTGTTCTCTTATATATAAAATGGGGGACATAGTACCTACATCATGCAGATGTATTAAGAATCAAATGCAATAATTCATGCATAAACCCCAGTACAAGTTATGGCAGATAGCAAATGATAGCAGTTAAGGAAATGACTTATGGAATACTACTGCCTGTGTTCCAATATTAGCATCACTACTTTGTGGCTAATGCGACGTGGGGAAATTACTTACCTTCTCTGTATTAGGTCTCCTCATTAACTACCTTATTAGTTACTTAGAGAAGCAAAGGGATGCATATATATATATATAAAAAATTAGATAGGTTTTGGCCTGTAGTAATACTAGATGTTCAATAGTATTCAATAAAACTGAAAGTTATATTAGCATAACAGTATTAGTATTGTTGCTCACTGAACTACTATGTGTCAGGCACTATCGTAGGTCCTAGAGATATAAGGTAAAATACACTTTCCAAGTTTAAGGCACCCACAGTCTAGTGAACTTTGTATCTTTTCATATGACGATGCTATCCCTCCACAATTTTTCACAGGAGACAAAGTCTTCTTCCTGTATATCGAGCTAGTCCTCTTCGGGGAAGGAAGGGGACTTCTTTCCCTGTCAATCTAAGTATGGACTAAAACTGAGGAAGAGAATTGAGGACAAGAGGGCAGGGTGGAGCCCAGGAACAGTTTCCTCTCATTCTTGATGGCGAAACTGCCACTTTCTGACACAGACAAGATGAGAGTCAAGTTAAACAACTCTCTTAATCTCATTCTTTCAGAAGTTTTCAAATAGAACAATAAAAGCTTCATGTGATACAAAGCCTGCACCAAACAAAGGATGTCTGAAATAATAATCAGCCCATGTCAGAAGCAAGAAACTCAGGGCTGGGGAGGTCAATGTGCTGTGCGCCAAGTCTGCAAGGGACAAAATGAACTAATTAATTAGAGGGGAAATAATACCAAAAAACAGGATCCATAAAAAATTCAAAATGTGGATAGACTGAGCCAAATCTAACAAGATGGTATTAATCGATTAAAGTAATGTGTTTGGAGGAAAAAGCTAAACATAGAAATAGAGAACTATGAGAATATGAATTCAAAAGTAGAGAGACTTCCTAGTGTTAGGCAGCGCAGCATGAATCAGCATATGCTTTGGCTGCCTGAATGGCACCAACAATGCAACAACAGCGGAAGGAAGCCGGTGAGGTCTACACTGCAAAGCCAGAATTCGGGAACCTCAGTGCAAGTAGTAATAGCGTCAGATGTTACCTATTCAGTTCTCAGCATGGCACTTAAAAGGGGACAATGACAGGCAGCAGAAGGTTCCTTCATTTTTCAACTAGTACCCAGTGAGCACCCTCAGTGTGTCAGGCTCTACTCCAGGTCCCGGGGACTCAGGGACAGGATAGACAAAGCCACTAACGGCTCCATGAACATTACATGGGGGTGAGTATAAAATTACATTAAATAAGTCATTTCACAAACTGGTAAGTGCTATGAAAAAAATTAAGTGATTGATAAGGAGTGACTACAATGAAGAAGAAGTAGAACTGATTAAGGCCTGGTGATTGAGAAAGACCAAAAGACCCTCTTCAGCAGATGACCTTTAACTGGGCCAGCCATTGAGCAATGTCAGAAAAGAGCATTCCAGCCATAGGTGACAAGTATAAAGACCCTTAGGTAGGAACAAGATGTTGAGGATGAGGAGGATAAAAAGGGATACTGTGTCTGAAAGGTGAGAGAGAGAGAGAGAAAGGTAAATAAGCTTAGAAAAAAGATGTAGGCAGGATCAGATCATGTAGTACAATGTAAGCCATGATGTGGAATTGATTTCTCTCGTAAATCAGCTGTCCTTGAAAAACTTAAAGCAGAGAAGTGAAATAATCTGATAATAGATGGAGGACAGAGTAGGCAAAGGCATCAGGTAGGATGTTTTGGGGGTAGTGCAGGTGAGCAGAGTGCAAGGGATGGGGGAGCAGCAATGGCAGTAGAGGATGTGGAGAGAGGTGTGCTCAGAGGAGGGGATCACGTTAGTTAACATGTCACAGGAGTGGCTTAAGGAAATGAGCACTATTAGTTGAACAAGGAAAAGACCAGGTAACACCTATAGCTATCTCTAAATCTTTATGTAGCTCAATTCTAGAGTGAGGGCTTTCTGAGTTATGCTTTCACAGATGGGTAGACAAAGTTCATGTCAAAAACATGAAAGACGCCCTGGCCGGTTTGGCTCAGAGGTTAGAGCGTCGGCCTGCGGTTCTGAGAGACCCGGGTTCGGTTCCCGCTAAGGGCACGTACCTCGGTTGCAGTTTGTCCCCAGCCCTGGTCGGTTGTGCGGGGTGGCAGCCACTCCATGTGTTCCTCTCTCTCCCTCCCACTCTACCTGAACAAAAAATGGAAAAATGTCCTCGGGTGAGGAAAAAAAAAAACATGAAAGACTTTATACCTCATGGATTGGAACCCCATTTCACTATATATGTGACTTTGGAGATACAATGACTATTTAACAGGGTTGCTGTGAAGATCAACCAAACTATTGTTATCAAAAAAAGACACCTAGTAATGGCCTAATTTATGAAAAGTATCTAGTAAATGGTAAATTGCAACAACTAATATTAAGATTATTATTGTTATAAGAAACCTATTCTGAGGCAATAGCTTTCAATATTTTTATTTTAGAACACTGTTTTGAGAATTTGATGAAATATATACCTTTTCTCCAGAGAAATGCACTATATATATTCACACTCCTCCATGCAAAGCTTTGAAAACAACTTTTAGTACTTAATAGACCCCTTCAAGAGCCCATCCATGAACCCCTTTAGTTAGAAAAGCAAATAACTCAATTTAAAAAGTCCTATTTTTGAGAGAAGGGGGTTGAGAAGCCTAAACTTTGTTTAAACACAAGCTTGATGATAAGTGGAGAAATTAAAGCAGGAGATGTCATTGGCCTTTCCATTCTCTCCAAGGATTGGTGGAACAGCCTGGGGAGAGAAAGACATAACACACACGCCTACAGTAGCAGCAGCAGCAGCAGAAAACAAACAAACAAAAAAAAACAGGTCAGCTCAAAGAACTGGGATGTCACTGCATGAGTCAACAATGACAAAAGAACCATAAGGCTTTTATCAGAGAAGGATGCAGGGCTGTGTTTGGGATGTTCTTGGATCCTACCTGAGCTAGATGAGGAGAGACTTGCAGGAGCTGTGCTTCCTTTGTTTCTATGATGGAAAATAAACCAATAATAAATATTTGTTACATTATTCATGTGAACCTTGGGCTGGTGGGCCTAGGAAAACCTGGCAGAATGCAAACTCAGAGGCAGTTATGCATTTGTGCATGTCTGGCAACTCCCCAACCCCCCATCACTGGATGATGCGCCTATTACAGAGCATGTGTTCAATAAATATGCCTTGATGGAAAGAAAACAGGCATAAAAATACTGTGAGAGTCAAAGCAGGGAGTCAGACTGACTCAACTGTGAATTTTCTGAAGATTAAAGCTGTAGGGAAATAGAATGTTTAGCCCCAGGAATAGCTAGACCTTTAAACAGAAACTTGGCAGACATACTGAAAAGGGAAGATAAGCTTTGAATATTAGTGTTGAAGAGTGTGGTGTGTGTGTGTGTGTGTGTGTGTGTGTGTGTACATGTGTGAGTGTTTGTGATGGATCCCTTTCTTCACCTGCACTCTTACGCAGAAGTCTAATAACTTGCTTAGACAGAAGGAGAGCCATCCTCGTTCCAGTGGAGGTGGGCACTGTCCTCACCCTGCTTTCCTGAGAAACTCCACCAGAACCCTGAAGTACAGTTTGAAAAATCAATGGATTTAGTGACTTCTAAGGGCCCTGCTAGATTGTCTGTGAATGTAGAATAATACTGAGTTGAGGTTATCTCAAACGACTATCTCTGATTCAAAATTCCTAGACATCCAATCATGGGGGCATAAAATGCTTTAAAATCTCAATAAATATCTTCTTCAAAAATATAAAAGCAACTATCTCCTTTAAAAAATATAGACGTGGGGTACCTCTGCCCTGACCCCAGCCAACTTCTCAGCTACCTCCAACATACCTCTTCATGGACTTGGGAGAGAGTTCCTTTTCCACGTCTTTCACGGGCATGCTGTAGGAGTCCACGTTGTATTCACTGTCATCGTCATACTCGTGGTCCAGCAATGTTCTTGCCCACGTCCCCATGTCATAAGGAGGCAGCATTCCTCCAAACTCAGAGGGCAGGATCTCAGGATGAATTAGTTGGTGTAGACTATTCAGGTTGTTACCATGCAAAAATATCTATAAATACAAGAAGAGAGGTGGGGGGAAACACACAGAGGAGAGTCAATGTTATCCAAATGCTGTGAGGAGGGAGCAACAATAGAAAGAGCAAAATCAAGAGTTTTCCATGTCCATGAAAATCCTTAAGCCCCTCATCTACTCTGTGAACCGACAGGCTGGTACTATCATCCTAGTATTTCATATAAAAATTCTGAGGCTCAGGGATTTTGAATAGCTTCTAGAAGGTCCACTGCTTATTGGGTTAAAGAGCTGAAAGCAGAATTTGATTTTCTGCTTCACAGTCATGAACATAAGAAGAATCTAATGTGCATGTATATCTGTGCATCATTCTGATGTTAGTTGTGCAAAGCTGATGATGTGCATAATGAATGCTACTAAAACAGATTCTTTTCATAAGGGACTCATCAACTACAAAGCTCATCCAAGTTATTAAGCCCAAAAGCTGTCACTAGTATGGCTTTCTCTTTATCATCCATAAAAATAAAAATACTGTAACCACTAAATTACCATTTTGTAATGCAAAGTATGTGATGTAAACAAAAGTAGATTAACATCATCATAATAAAAGGTTGAGTGAAGGTTCATGTCCCAAAGGACCTATGTTCTATAATGTTTCCAGCATCTTCTCTACTAGAGATTTCCATGTTTATTATTCAAATAGAAAATGAAATAATGGATTAAAAGTGTAAAGCTATATGCATATAGTAATTATGGGTATTACTGTCTACACAGAGCCTTTTTGTTAAACTAAAAAATGTTTCATGCTACATACTCAAGATCCATTTCTCCATAAATTGCTGCTTCTTTTCTTTCATCTCAATATCAGAACTGCAAATCAGTCTTCTCTAATAAAGCATTGTTGTCAGCTCATAAAAAGTTATATAATGTTTATTTAAGGATTATAGATTATAAATGACAGAGATAATTTCATATTTCAGGTTTGAGATGAACAGGCTAACACATTCATCTTTGTTTTCCATATTTTTAGAATCTACTGAAGTAAATATATAGGAAACAAAGAAAGACTAGTCTAAAACATCAAATAAAATGAAAGGGATGGGAGTCAGCAGTCAACAAGTAATTTTAACAAATTATGGAAGAATAAAAGCAGATGAGAGCAAGTCACTGGCCAAAATAGGCAGAAAAAAATCGCTGCCTGGAATACATGATGTGGGACTTACAGAGGTGGAAGATGCCATCTGTACCAAAGTACATCAAATTAATTGCAAATTTTATACCTTCCCACTCCTATTTGCAGAACACAAGAGCCAAGGAAAACACACACACACACACACACACACACACACACACACTGCAAGGTTCTTCTCATAAGAAACAAAAATAATTTTTCCTGGAAAAATTAAGCTCCAACACCTGAAACCCTTACTTTATTAGATAAATAACCTTCAGTTTATCAGATGCATTACTTCATGTAAGAAACCTCTTTCAAGTCATGTAAGATGTATGGTAATAAATCCTTAGGAAAATAAATGTAATCCAGTACACTACTTCCTCTCTCTTCACTAACCCTGTTACCTCCTCTCTCAACATCACTTTCAGCTTTGGCCTTGTTTCCTCTTTCACTGAAAAAAAATAGGACAACCAGATGATTCCCTGCTACCAGCATCTGTGTTCATATGCTTTGTCTTCGTTCCTAGTACAATGAAGGATAAACTTTACAAAGGCCAACCTCTCCACCTGTGCCCTACAATTCATTCTCTTTCTTCTCCTCAGTTGTATTTCCTAAGCATTTCTCTCTCCCTCTCCCTCTCCCTCCCCCCCCCCATCAAATTTCCTCACTCTGCTGCATCTTTCCCATCGGAGAACACACATGCCAACTCTACTCTTCCCTTCCCTTATATCATACACAAAACCTCTCTTGGCCCTGTTTCAATCTCCAGTTATTATCCTATTTCTCTCTTCCTCTCTGTTGCAAAACTCATCAAAGAGTTGGTCTATATTCATTGTCCAAATACTCTTGTCTCATTTTTCCTGAACCCACTGAAAAGAGGTGGGTGTTGCTTCCCACCACATTATGCAAATTGCTCTTGTCAAGATTCTTCTTGTTGCTGAATTCATTGTCCAATTCTCAGTCCCTATTTTTCTTGAACTCTCGAAGCACTGGATAGAATAGATGATAATAAATATAATAGATGACTCTCCTCATGAAAACATTTTCTCCCAGATTCTCTTGGTTTTCTCCCACCTTGATCAATGTTTTTTGTGTTTTTTTCCCCACTCTCTTTTGCTGAGTATTCCTCATGACCCCAACATCTTAATGTCAAAGAGCTCCAGGCTTCTGTTCTTGAATTTATTCTCTTCTCTAACTTTACTCACTCCTTAGTGATTTTATTCACTCTCATGGTTTTTTTGTTTGTTTTGTTTTCTTTTATTTGTTTTTGCATTTATCTTCAGATAGAGTGGGAGGGAGAAAGGGAGGGAGAGAGAGAGAAACATTGAGAGAAACATCAACCTGAGAGAGACACATCAACTAGTTGCCACCCACATGACCCCAACTGGAGTGGGGACACCAAGGTACATGACCTTAGCGGGAGCCAAACCCGAGACTCTGTGGTCCGAAGGCTGACGCTTTAACCGCTGAGTCAAACCGGCCAGGGCCACTCTCATGGTTTTAAATAGTGTCCACACACTAAAAATTCGTATATTAAATCCAGACCTCCAACTTTTGTTTTATTTTCCTAAGCTGCACCATTCAAGAAAATATGCTAGGAACCGAAAAATGGCAGCGGAGTGAACGGAGCTACACAGACCGTCTCCCAGAACCAAACTGGAATTACAACTATAACACAGACAAATCGTCGGGAAAAACCAACAGAAAAGCAGCTTGCGAGGACCATACAACGAGGGACACCGACTCGATCCCGGTAGGCTTGCGAAGGCGCGAGACGGGGCGGGGAGCGCTCAGTCGGCAGCTCGGCAGCGGCCTCAGCTGGGAGCGGCGCACTCGGGTCACACTCCCCGGAGGCTCCACAGCGCAGAGCCGGGACAGAGGCTGAAACAGCCACAGCCACTCACCTTGGGCTCCGGCAGAGGGAGGGCGGACTGGACTGGAACTGAGTCGGGACACTCGGGGTTTGGAGGGCGCTCAGAGCTTTGGCTGAGTGCAGCCACTCAGGACGGTGGCCCTATTGCCCCTTCCCAGGGCTCTGAGGAGAGGCAGCAGCCCCTCCCTCGGAGATCCTACCCCACCCTGTGGGCCATTGAAGTGTTAATTGAGGCTCACTAACAACCAGCATCTGCCCCACCCTCGTGAAAGCCCCTTGGCTGAGCACCAGAGGGAGTTTTTCAATCAACTGACAACCCAAAACTCATCAATTAACCTAGACTGCTAGCCTCCAGGCAAAAAGCTAGAGGATAACAGTACGTTTCCTGGGCTGGCAACTTTAACCAGGAAAGTAACACTTGACAGTGGTGTTCAACGTGGGTCCTCCCTCGCTCATCTAAATACAAGAGAGGGAGCCACAAACAGCAGAACACCAACACCCACAGGGAGAACTTGACAGGCTCCAAAGCCCACAGTGATAGCCAAAATGGTGAAACACAGAAACAGAAGCCAAATGAAAGAGCAAGACACCTCCACCGAAGATGAGATCAATGCGGAGCAATTAGGCATGTTAACAGAGCTAGAATTCAGAGCCATGATCTTGAGGAAGCTGAACAGCATGAGTAAGGACATAGAGACACTGAAAATAAGCCAATTGGAAATTAAAAACCAACAAGAAGAGATAAAAAACGACATATCAGAAATGAAAAACACATTGGAAGGTTTAAAAAGCAGAGTAGGGGAAGCTGAGGACCGGATCAGTGAATTAGAAGACAGGGTAGAAAAAATCAACCAGTCAGAAAAACAAAAGGAAAAAACTATTAAAAAACAGGCAGACAGCTTAAGAGAACTATTGGACAACTGGAAACGTAATAATATTCGCATCATAGGAGTCCCCGAAGAAGAAGAAAAGGAGCAAGGGATAGAGACTATATTCAAAAAAATAGTGAGAGAAAACTTCCCTAATTTGGTGAAGGAAGAAGGCATTCAAGTTCAAGAAGCACAGAGAGTCCCAAGTAAGAAGAACCCAAACAGGCCCACACCAAGACACATAGTAATTAAAATGCCACAAATTAAAGACAAAGAGAGAATCCTAAAAGCAGCAAGAGATAAGCAACAGGTTACCTACAAAGGGAACCCCATAAGGCTCTCAGCTGACTTCTCACAAGAAACACTACAGGCCAGAAGAGAATGGCATGAAGTAATCAAAGTCATGAAAAACAAGAATCTGAATCCAAGACTACTCTACCCAGCAAGGCTATCATTCAAAATAGAAGATCAAATAAAGAGCTTCCCAGACAAAAAAAGGCTAAGGGAATACATTAGCACCAAACCAGCACTGCAAGAAATGTTAAAAGGACTGCTGTAATTAGCAGTAGAAATGGGAAGAAAAATAGAACCACACTAAACAAAAATGGCAATAAATAAGTACATATCAATAATCACCTTAAACGTTAATGGATTGAATGCTCCCATAAAGAGACACAGAGTAGCTGATTGGATAAGAAAGCATGACCCATCTATATGTTGTTTACAAGAGACCCACCTCTCAACAAAAGACTCACATAGGTTGAAAGTGAAGGGATGGAAAAAAATTTCCCAAGCAAATGGAAAGCAAAAAAAAGCTGGGGTAGCAATTCTCGTATCTGATAAAATAGATTTCAAAATGAAGACCATAACTAGAGACAAAGACGGCCACTACATAATATTGAAAGGATCTATCCAACAGGAAGATATAACCTTGATAAACATATATGCACCCAATATAGGAGCACCAAAATATATTAAAAATCTTTTGGAGGACTTCCAAGGAGAAATCGACAACAATACATCATAGCAGGGGACTTCAACACCCCGTTGACAGCACTGGATAGATCCTCTAGGCAAAAAATTAGCAAGGAAACAGAGACTCTAAATGAAGCACTAGACCAAA